CATCAGAAAACTTCCCAAGGCTCCCATCACAGACTTAATGCATCTTAGCTGTGCAGGCCACCTTCCTCCTGTGACTCAGAGGGACTTTACTGCTCCCTCCAAGGCCAACCCTCCCCTGTGCACTTGACCCCACCCTCTTGATTCCCCCAAAGACTTCACACCTGCCTTGTTTTTCTCTCTTTCTCTACGTCACCGATTTCCTGTCTCTCCTGGATTATTCTGACCAGCATAGACACATGGTCCAATAGTTCCTACTCTTAAAAAAAAAAAATCCTCCCTTAATCCCACACCCTTTTCCAGTGTCTGCCCCATCTCTCTGCTACCATATTCAAGCATTGCTCCAATCGGGTGTCTATTTCCAGCACAACAGTGAAACTGCTCTTGTCAGAGTCACCAGTGATCTCCACTTTGCCTCAGTCCATTTCTTAGCTGACCCATCTGCAGCTCTTGACAGTGCTAACCAAGCCCTTGCCCTTGAGACGCTTTCTCCTCTGGCCGAGACGCCTCTTGTGTGTTTGCCTCCTGCCACACTGGCCACCCCTCGGTCTCCCTTCCTGCATCTCCTTCCCACCCTGACCTCTACTCCAGGCATATTCCAGGCTCTTCTCTCTCTACACTCCTCCTTGGGGACCTTGCCCAGATGCCTGGCTTTAAAACTCATCTACTCTTCGCTGGTTCCCAGAAGTTCATTTCCAGCCCTCACCCCCACTGCATCCAGGCTAGCTCATGCTGCCGCCTACTGAGAATGCCGCTTGGACATCTCACAGGCACCAAACGTGTCCAAAACCGAGCTCCCGATTTCCCTCCCAGTCCTGTCCCTCCTGGAGTTTTCCCACTTCAGTAAATCACAGCTCCAATTTTCTAACTGCTCAGGCCAAATCTTTGGAGTTATTCTTGATTTCTTTCTTTTTCTCAAACCCCACTTCCAATCAGCAAATGGTGTCACTTTCACCCTCAAAATACTTGTATGTCTGGAATCGAGCGCCTCTCCCCACCTCCACCTGCCTTCGTGCCTTTCATGGGCCCTCCCCTGGATGATTGCAACAGCCTCCTCGCTGGCCTCCCTGCTTCTGCCCTGGCCTCCTCTAGACTATTCTTCACGCAGAAGACAGAGTGATCTCTTTAAAATGCAAGGATCAGTCCTGTGCTCAAACCACCCATGGCTTCCCATCTCACGGAAGGACCCAGTGAGGCCCCACAGGAGAGGCCTTGACATGCTCAGTGCAGCTCCTAGGATCCCCCAGCCTTACTGCACTCCATCCAGCAGCCTTCTTGCTGTTGCTTGCACAAGCTAGCCGTTGATGTTCAAGTGCTTGTCCTCTGTTCCCTCTGCCTGGAATGCTCTTCCCCCAGATATTGGCATGATTGCTTACTCTTATCCAGATCTCAGCTGAATTGTGCCCTCTTCAGTGAGTCCCCTCTTTTTCTGACTAATCTAAATCTGCAGCCTCCTCTCATGCTCACAAGAAGCTATTTTATTTTCTTCATAGCACTCACCATTATCTGAAATAATCTTATCTGTTTCTTTACTTGTTTACTGTCTGTCTTCCTTACCAGAATAAAAGATTTAAAATGGCACAAACTCTGTCTGCAGCAACTAGCACAGAGCCCACCACATGGTTGCCAGGGTTGCCATGGAAGGTTGTAAAGGTTGCTCACGGCATCACAGCTCCTGGCTGAGGAGGTGGCAGGTGCTGATGTCCAGCTCGCTCTCTGCTCTTCTCCCTGTGGTGACAGCCAGCAGGTTGCTGACTGCAGTGTGTGCCGTAGGGGCTGGCTGTGGCTCTGTGGTGGACATTCGATGAACATTTATAGAATAAATGACTGACTGATGTATGTGCAGGCCCTTTGCTCGTTTTCTGCAGAACTTCATGCCAAATACCTTCTCATAGCCTCATTTTCTTCATCCGTTAAGGGGGATAATTAACATCTATCTCATAGCATGGTTATGAGGGTTGAAAGAAAGAGTTCATTAAAAAGCTGGCACAAATGTGATTACATTCATATAAAATATCCAGAATAGGCAAGTCCATAGAGACAGAAAGCAGATTAGCGGTTGCTAGAGGCTGGGGGGATGGGGAAATGGGGACTGACTGCTTAATGGGTAAGGGGCTTCCAGGTGTGACGATTTGTTTTTGAACTAGAGCGATTGCTGCATGACATTCTGAATGCACTAAATGCTGCTGAATGGCATGCTTGAAAATGGCTAAAATGGTGAATTTTATGTTATGTGAATTAGGTTATGTTATATGAGTACCTCAATTAAAAAAAGCCGGGCACAGTGCCTGGGACATGGTAGGTGTCAGTGGATATTGGTTGAATCCCCTGCTTTCCTTGCTTCAAAAATAAAGTAAGACCCCAAGGCTTCCTTAGGGCTTCATTGCCCCATCCAGGATAACATTCACTTTCCTCACATTCATTTATTTTGGAAGTATTTGTTGTTGCCATTTTACATATCGGGGATATGATCAGAATAAAACAGATGCAGAACCCACCCCCAGAGTTTACAGGCTCATAGGGGAAACTCTAAAGAGGAAATCACAATACCATGTAGTCAGGGCTATGGGAGAGAAGGGCCAAGGTCTGTGGGGTGCAGGGTACAGAGGAGGGGAGGAGGGCAACTCACCCAGACGGGGAGCGTCAGGGATGGGTAGGCCTGGGGGGAATAATTAGCAGATGGAAGATGGATGTGTGGGCAGGGATTGGAGGTCAGGGGTGGGGGAAAGCAAGGATCCCAGGGAAAGGGGAGTGGAGTGTGCAAAGCCTGAAAGGTAAGAGAGAGCAGGGTGAGTTTCAGGAATAGAAAACAACTTGGCGTGGCTGGAGCAGAGAGTGTGCAGGTGTTGGTGCCAGACTAGGTGGGACAGGTGGGAAGGGGCCAGTGGTGGTAGTTCAGACTCCATCCCAGGATACTCAAGGCCCTGCAGGAACTGGCCTCCACTCTCCAGCTGCAGTTCTACCACGTCTCATTGGCAGCCCCTCTCGGCAGCCCTCCCTCCAGCTGTGCCCCGTTGGTCCCTCCATGCATAACTCCTGCCGTCCTTCCTCCCTTAGGTATTGACTGAACCCGCCCCGTGTGGGGAACTATGCTGGATGCTGGAAACCCAGAGACTGTTAAAACCTGGCATCATGTGGGGAGAGCTCCCAGGCTTGGGGGTAGGCAGCAAGTCCTTCCTCCCTTAGGTATTGACTGAACCCGTCCCGTGTGGGGAACTATGCTGGATGCTGGAAATCCAGAGACTGTTAAAACCTGGCATCATGTGGGGAGAGCTCCCAGGCTTGGGGGTAGGCAGCACAGGAAGAAATGATCACAGGATGATGAGAGAAAGGCTGTGAGAGAGGGTGCTCTGGGCATAGAAGAGGAGGGCTTGCAAGGCCAGAGGGAGGGCTCAGGAAAGGTGACTCCTGAGCTGGATCTTGAAAGGCACAAAGCCCAAGGACAAGGGCCTGGGCAAAAGGGAATCAGAGAGCACGCTGGGAGAGGGTCAGAGCCCAGCTGGTGGGATCACAGGAACTTTGCAATCCAGATGAAGGCTTGAGCCTCCTTCCAGGTACACACACACACACACACACACACACACACACGCACATATGCACAGGCTTACACACACCTTTGCAGGTGATTTTGGAATGTCCTTGGTCTTTCTGGCTTGGCCTGGGAAAAATGCCCTCCTCCCACCCCTTACCCCCCCCCCTCCCCTTCC